AAAAGTCATTTAAATTGTAAAGAAATTATTGAAGTTAATGAGAATAAAACTTATACAATTGATGGAGTTATTGTTGACTTTATGTTTACTCCAGGTGCAGAAGCACCCACAGAAATGATGATGTACTTCCCTCAATTAAAAGCTCTTTGTACAGCTGAAGAAATTAATAGACTAATGCATAATTTATATACTCCAAGAGGAGCTAAAGTACGTAATGGTAAAGTATGGGCTGGGTATATAGATTATATCATTATGAAATATGGAGATGATATAGAAGTATCATTTGGAACTCACAACTGGCCAACATGGGGAAATAAAAGAATAGTTGAATATTATGAGAAACAAAGAGATATGTATAAATATCTTCATGACCAAACACTAAGAAATGCTAACTTAGGGTATACTCCAAATGAATTACCAGAACATGTCAAATTACCAGAATCATTATCAAAAGTGTTTTATAATAGAGAGTATTATGGAACTGTCAGTCATAATATTAAAGCACAATATCAATTTTATCTTGGATGGTATGATGGAAATCCAGCTCATCTTAATGAATTGACACCAATAGAACAAGGAAAAAAATATGTTGAAGTTATTGGAGGAGAAACAAGATGTATTGAATTAGCTCAACAAGCATTTGAAAAAGGAGAATTTCAATGGGCAATAACTTTATTAAATCATTTAATATTTGCCAATCCAAAGAATGTTAAAGCAAGAGAATTAGCTGCTAATGTGTATACTCAATTAGGATATTTACAAGAGAGTGCAGTTTGGAGAAATGAATATCTAACAGCAGCAATGGAATTACGTTCAAGTGAAATGAAGAATACAATTAGTATGCCACCAGGAAATGATATCAAACATATTAAAGAAAGTAGTCTTAGTGATATTTTTGATGTATTTAGTGTTAATGTTGATCCAAATAAAATTGATGGATTAGATGAAGTTATTAATTTAATATGCAAAGACTCTAATGAAACAATAAGTGTTGTAGTAAAAAATAATGTAATAAATGTAAGACAAACAATTTCTAAAAATCCAACAATAACTGTTGAATCTACGAAACAAAATTTATTAAACTTTTATTCAAAAAAATTAACACAACAAGAATTTTTCAAGAAAATAGAATTTAAAGGAAAATTAGATGGATTTTTCAAACTTCTTGAATCAATTACAATTCCATCACCAATATTTGAAATTATTGAACCTTAATTTTAATTGAATTATTGGATAATTATTGAATTATTCTTTTTATTTAAATTACTTTTTAATCAAAAAAAAAAAACAAATACAAAGAAATAAGAA